GGAGGTGCGGGAGCGGATCCTCTCGGAGGAGAAGCAGACGTGCAGAGCGGTGGTGCAGTCATACCTGCATGGCCACAGGAAAGTCGGCCTGCGCCTCCGGGGGGAAAAACACATCCACAGCTTTCTTCGCAAACGGTTGGTTTCCGGCCGCCGGCTGTCCGACCTCGATTATGTGCAGCTAGAACAGAGGGGGAGGTGGTTGCTGAGCAAGGCAGTGGGGAGCGGAGCCTCGGGGCCCACACTCTGCACGACCAACGTCACATCACGCTCGGGCCAAGCGAGCTGAGCCTTTTTGCCTAACCTGCCTCCGGACACCAAGCTCCTTGGAAAGGTCCTGGGCCCCTGAGGGCATTCAGCCCCGGGGTGCTGTCCGAGGTGCTGAGTCAGGTTCGGTGCTGATGTGCATGAAACAGAGCGCTCCGGCTAAGGTCTGAAGTCTATCTACTCGGTCTCTGCTCCCTGACCCCCAGACACAGCTGGGCCCAACGCCAACCAGTCCGCCGACAAGACCGCATCACTGAACACCAGGCGCACGCGACAGTCCCAGCATGGCAGTCCTGAAAGACCGGCCTGCGTCTCTCAAGGTCATGCCGGACACCTAAGAGTCTTTGTAGATGGGACCAGCAGTTAGCGTAATGGCTATGTCGCTGGACTCCCATGTAGTCGACTGCGGTTCGAGTCCCAGACCTGGTGGCTTAAACTCACGCCGGGTGCATGTGCGTGCGTGCCCAAGATCCCGAGAGGAGAATGGAGGAGAAGGGATTGCGGCGTGGCCATGCCCCCTGGGGGGTGATTTCTCGCTTTCTGTCTCTCTGTCTCTGTCTTTCTGGCGAGCGCACATGCCCTATAGCAAAATCCTCTCAAAAAATAAATATAGTCTTTGTAGAACGTGGAGGAATAACCGGGCACGAAGGGGTCCATCGCTCTGATCTGGTCAGTGCCAAGTTCCTTGTTCACACACACGCCTTCCCCAGAAGACCTCTCAAGACCAGGGGGCCACAGCTGAAACCAGTCACGGGGGAGCTGGATCCCAGACAGGAAAGGGTGGGCTTGTCAGAGGAGGAGGGCGAGGGCATCTTAGAGGCTAGTCTGGTTCCAGTCAGGCAGAGAGAGAAGAGGAAATGCCCAGGGGTCTCAGGCCTGGGGGAGGAGGAACACAGCAGCCTAGAAGAGGGAAGGCTGGCGGGGCAAGCTGCAAGCGCGCAGGGCTGCTGCAGGCGTGGACAGGGGGGACGCTGCTTCCTGTGCGCGGGCTCTTCGGGATAAAGGGCAGTTTAAGAAGATTCTTCAGCAGGCCATCAGGTGGCATGGTGGTTGTGGTGCTGGACTCTCACATGGCTGACTGCCGTTCAAGTCCCGGACTCGGTGGCTTGAAACTCAAGCTGGGCACATGCGTGTGTGTGCCCCAAGTCCCAAGAAGAGAATGGAGGAGAAGGGATTGTGGTGTGGCCATACCCCTGGGAGTGATTTCTCACCTTCTCTCTCTCTGTGTCTCTGATGTCCGCACACACCCTGTAGCAAAAATCTCTCAAAAAAAGATTCTTTGGCAAGGCTTAATTAATGGTAAGAAAAGGTGAGTGAATCTGAGATCCTAAAAAATGACTAAGGACCGGGACCAGCAGTTAGCGTAATGGCTATGTCGCTGGACTCCCACGTAGTCGACCGCAGTTCAAGTCCCAGACCTGGTGGCTTAAACTCACGCCGGGCGCGTGTGCGTGCGTGCCCAAGATCCTGAGAGGAGAATGGAGGAGAAGGGATTGTGGCGTGGCCATCCCCCCTGGGGGACGATTTCTCACTTTCTGTCTCTCTGTGTCTCTCTGTCTTTCTGGCGAGTGCACGTGCCCTATAGCAAAAAAAAGTCTCAAAAAAAAAAAAAAAAAGACTAAGGACCTAAGAAATGACTATTCCAGGGGCCGCCAGCAGGTGGCATGGTGGTTAAGGCGCTGGATTCCCACATGGCCGACTGCCATGCGTAGGGACCAGCAGATGGTGTAATGCTTATGTCACTGCACTCCCATGTCGTTGACTTTTTTTAAAAAAAGAATGATTTATTTAATCACATTTGTTGTTATTATTATTATTATTTAATTTGACCAGAGAGAGAGAAAGAGAAAGGGAAAGGGAGGAAGCAAGCCGCCAGGTCCGAGACTTCGGTCTGGCCACGTAGGAGTCCAGCACCTTTAAGCACGGTGCTGCCTGCTGGTCCCATAAATAATTCTTTTAAAAATAAATAAAATGAGGGAACCAGCAGTTAGCGTAATGGCTATGTCGCTGGACTCCCACGTAGTCG